AACAGACTGATTAAATGAAACTAATCCCTGAAGAAAAAAGTGGAATTATTGTTATATGGAATAACATATAGTCTCCATGCAGGGTAACCACAGATTTTAAATAATATAATAAAAAACCCACTCCTGAATGGAACTGTCCAGGAGTCATACCTGAGTCAGTTATGAAAGCAACAAAGTACTCATCACATTTATAAATATTCTATATTTATCTGTAGGGCTCAAGGTTCATAATAATGGAAAGTGATCTCATACGGATGCCAGTATTTACAATATTCATCTTTCACAAATGCCAGTGAAGGGGTGATGAGGTGGTCTATGATTATGTCAGGATTAAGAGCTACAAGTATTAATAATCCCACTCCCACTCAGTGTTCCTAAACAGTCCCAGCAAATCCATTTTTCCATTTTCCTTAACCGATTGCATTTAATCCTGCATTAGGAATTAAATGTCTCAATAAAACTGGGTCAAATATACAATCTATTTTTTCCTACAATAATGTAATGCTTTGAGAAGTACAATTTTACATATTTCAATTATTCTACACCCTAATCAAAGATATGGAAAAAAGGGAATTAGGCTTTTAAAAGTCACTGTATATTATATCTCCATTGAAAAACAAAACCAAGACCTATAATTGAAAGTTGTTTATTTTCCAGCTTGTTCATATGATCTTGTTCTTCGAGAATGCAGTATTTGTATGGCTAAGTCTTCTTCATTATCTCACAAGCTATTTTTCCATTTAATTGACTTTAAATAGTTGAATATTACAATGTACGCCCCCAAACAATGTTATTTGAGGCATTTTGCATTAAAATTCCTAAAGGAAGCAACTGCTTTGGCTACAAAGCTTCTTCTAGCATTAATAAGAAAAAACAGCACAAATTTTAAACTGGCAAGCATTCTGAGTGGAGTGGGAATTATATCTAGGTGTCAAGAAGTAAAATAATTTTCTGGAATCATCAAAAAGCTTCAGCATGGTTATAAAACTCCTTCCTTTGAAAGCAGTCTAGTCCAATCTATAATTAGACTACAGTGTGATACAAATGCTGAGTGACAATACATAAAACAAAAAGCTTTTGAAAACTAGTGAAAAACAGTGCACTTAAAAAGCCAGTAGCTTTATGCTAAATATGCACTTAATATGCCTTCAATTTCATGTTTACTGCACACTGCAGCACAAAAATGTTTGTTAAACTTCACGTTAGTACTGCAAAATGCTTTTTAAAAAATTCTCATGTTTTTGGTGAAATTGTTGATACAAGAAAAGGGAATACAATTATTTTCTCAGCTTTGTGGTTACAAAGTTAATGTTTCTTACCATCACCATTTTTAAACAATAAAATAAAATAAAATAAAATAAAATAAAATAAAATAAAATAAAATAGGGAAAGTTTCAGGTTTAATGCTGTCAGCCAAAGAGAACCTAAAATTCATTAACCCTAATATATTTTCTTCCATTTTTTAAATATCCATCTGCTATTGTAATAGACTTAGATCAGTAGTTTGCAACCTGTTTTCATTTGCAGACCTATACAAGTTTTCAAATGGAGGGTCACACTAGGGATGTGAAAGGTTAACTCATAAGAATCACCCTTAATGTGTGATGCTTACTGGTTCTGGTTAACCCATGGGGGCTGGAGCAACTTTCCAACCACCGTGGGCAGGGGGATGCTCCAGTCCCGCAGGGCCTGATGCAGACAGGGATGCTCGCAGCCTGTCTGCAAAGGTCGCACCGCAAGCAGGGGCTGCTTCAGCCACACCCCCAGGTCCCCTCCCTTTTAATTGGTTAACCAGTTAAACATCCTGTTTAAACAGTGAAACAGGATTTTACATCCTTAGTGCATACCCCACTGGAAGTCTCAATCTGCAACCCCCCAGCAGTCTGCAGACAACAGGTAGAGACCATTTGATAGAATCTTTAATCAATACTGATCTTGTTAAACTGGGGTTTCAAAATATATATTATCTATCAGACTTACCTGGCATTGCCCAGGTTCCTCAGGGCAGGGCTTTGGGAATGGTGGGACTGCCAGAGGCTAGGAACCAGAGCTATGGCCTGCTCTCTCTGGCCATCCCCCCAGCCCAACTGGGACCTGTTCCCCCTCTCACCCATTCCCTCCAGCCCACCTGGGGTCTGTTCTTCCCTCCCAGCCATCCACTCAGATGTTTGGGGCCTGTTCTTTCCCTCCAGGTATCCCACCCATCAACCAGGGGCCTATTCTTCTCCCCTCCCCCTGGTGTTGTGGCCAAGGGCCAGGAGGATGGGAAATGGTTCAGGGCAGAGGGGCTACTTACTGGTGTGCTGGCAGGCAAGATGGTGGAGCCCCAGCCCTGCTGGTCAGTCCCTTGGTGGTACAGCTGTCCCCCAGTAGATATTCTGCAGGACAGCTCTCCCTTGTGAGCTTGCTGCCCCCAGTGGACACTCTCATATCACATCCCTCAGAACAAGAGTCCCTCCCTTGGCATTTTAGGGAAAACTGTCCTTTTCTTGGGGCTTCCAGTTCTCCTGGCACAACCAAACTTCAACTTTGCTTTAAATTAGGAAACGAGGAAGCTGCATACCAAATTGGATGGCCCTAACTCTTACTGTTCACAAGTTCTTGAAAAAACAGACTCACAGATGGATGCTCTCTAAAATTACATATATCATGTTAATCCTTGTAACTGTTATAGGCACCTACAGAAACCATTGCAGTCAAAAGGCATGAGTACTTACATTATTATGAAGCTTATGTCTAGTTTACAATAGATTGTTTTGGGAAATATCTCACTATTGCACTTCCACTTGTGGTAGCAATAGTTGGAGTGCTAGTTCAGAGAATACTCAGGTATGTCAGCAATTTTACCTCTGCATCATCAAGACTTGCTCTGAGCTAGTTTAGATGATATAATAGTAAAAATGCCATTAACACCACCAATATAGGTGTACTGGTAATACAACTCACAGCCCGTGGGCCATCTACAGCCTGAGCAGTTCCACAATCCAGTCTGTGTGACTGCCACCATGAGTCCCTGTGGCAAGCAGGTGGGGCTGGGGGGGTACATAACCTTCCCCCTAGCTGAGCAACTGTTCCTCTCATCCTGCCTCTTCCAAACCCTGTGCTTCACATTCTCCCCCACATTGCACTCCTTCCCTCAAACTCCCTCCTCCCAGGGACACAACCTTTGGGATTATTGGGATGCCTGGCATGGGGTGACAAAGGGGGATGGCCCCCTTGCACTCACTGCAGCAGCAGGAGTCGTGGGAAAGTGGAGTGATACAGCAGCCTCTATTCCACTCTGCCACCATCTCTCCAGCTAGCCCAGTCTCTCTACTTTACTAAACTCCACTAAATTGCCCAGAGGCAGCAGGTGGGCAGGTAAGGTTAGGAGGTGCATGGAGACAACCCCCACTGGCATTGGCCCTAACGTAAATTGAATTTGAGACCCCTGCTTTAAGCCTTAGGCCTCATTCTCCTCTCTAATGGATGACTTAATGTAGGGAACAGGTTATCCACCTTTCACCTACTATAGAGTTTTTACACCTGCTGCTGAAGCATATTGCACTGGCCACTGCTAGACCTCAGGTTTGATATTATGTGGTAATTCCTACGTTTCAGTGTATTTAGCTTGCATGCTGTCTTCTATTATCTTTGTATAGCACCTAGCGCAATGAAGCCCACATTTTGATCAGAGTCTAGGTACTCCCTGTAATACAAATAAACAGAATACCACTGCAACTATTTTTAATTAGCTTTATTTTTTCCAGGTTTTCTGAATCCGATATTTTAAAAAGTTAATTTGGTGGTTAAGAGAGGGACTACTAACAGCTCTCAGGAAGCACTAGCACAAATTTCTTTTCAATAAACATCCATTAAAGTTCAACTATGAACTAGAGAGACCTGAGAAGTCAAGTCAAGAACTAATGGGCATGAATACTAAGCTTTTTACTTAGAATTGTCGTAAGGTGGCCACTCAATGGAAAGATGGGGCAATTCAGCAATAATTTTTTTACAGAACACCACTGCTTATTTTGAACAAGTTACTGAGAAGAAAAATGCTTTTTTTACACTTGAAGAACCCAGGTTCTCTGTGCCATTTCAGCCCAAATGGATTTTAAAACTGTCAAATTGCATCTGATGTCAGCTTAGAGTTTTACATAATAACACCCCATTTCTTACGCATACTTTAGCAGCTGCCATGGACATAACTTCACCTACTCTAATTCCACGTTGACTCTCTCCTTTCAGAGAAGTTAACCCTTATGGTATGTCTCCAAGCCCGCCTGAAACAATTTAAAAGCATCATCAGATTTAGTGGGACAAGTGATTTTTAAAGAAAAGATGCCATTTCTGCAAAAGCTACTCTCGAAAACTTTTATTTAACATTCCTTTATCAATAAATTAACCAAAGCCAAGATACCCAAAAGTCACATAGACCAGAGAGATACAGAAGAAGATATTTAGATTGAGAGGCTTTTCCTTCACTTCTAAATCACAATGAGGCCTTTCCCATTTTGAACTGTGACAGAAAACAACAGCTGACAAACAAGTCTGGAACAGATGCCAGTTGTCTTTCATTTGTTTTAGAATTCAATCAGCAGTGGTTCTGTAGCACTGTTTTTAAAGGCAGGGTATCTATATGCTAATTTGGATTTCACATCGTTCAGTACTGTTTCAAGAACTAATTAACATCTTTAATACAAAAGTTATTTTAGTTCAGGGCTCTGGACTTTATATAAACACTTAGATTTTATATGTATTTTAGTTTGCTTTAAAAAAACCTATATCCCCTAATATTCCATTTAGAAGAAGCCATAGACATTCTTCCAAGACTATTTGCAAACTCTAGAGACATTGAGTAGCAGAGGATAATGTAAATTTAGACAGAGTACTTCTTTAAATTGCTGGCTAAAAAGGAATTTCAATTAAAATATAACATAATTATGAATTGTTTTGAAGATGTCTAAGTTGCTTATATAAATGGATTTGATTACAATATATAGATAATTTGTGGCATAGAACATGGTGTTGCAATGTTCATTACAGTACTGTATTTTAAGCACAAATTAGATTCTAATATTAGCTAGGCTCCATGCACAAGATTTAAGAAATCAACAAAGATCGTTGTAGACAACTCCCATGTAGATTAGGTTTTTTTCCAACTTCAGTGAAAGATACTTGAGTGTTTTGTAGTACAAAAAATTAAATTCATTAACTCATTTAACAAGTCAACGGTCAGCATGCTTTGTTAAACTGCACTGTAGTAGAATTTAGCATACATGAAATGTGTAAGTTATAGGGTCAGCTGGAAAGCTGACAAAGTTTTAAAGTTGTACAGTACAGAAGATCCAGACTACAGCATTGCTTGGTTATTCAGTTTACAAAGGTGTTTGCCATTATTTGTTCTGCTTTTGAGACTGAAAATAAATACTCAACATTTAAAAATTCTGACTTTTTAAAATAAGGTAATGATAAAAGTATTTCTTCTAGTAGCATGTACATTTTAGCTGTGATTGGCTGCCTAACAAAGTTCCTTTGAGCATACCAGTAAAATCATGTCTAGTTTTGCCATTTGTGGATAACGATGACAAGATCCAAAAGCATGCGTTAGCCATAAATAGCTCTGGCTAAGGGAGGATTGCTCACACTGAGCAGATCAAATTCTCTATAAGGAGAGCAGTATTTGGCTTTTTGCCAAATCATGTTCCTGACGCAAGATTTAGTAGTGGAAAACACTTTCCAGTTCTTTTTGCACAGAAGTTAACAAGTAGAACCATTCATTTGGGATATTTCTTTCACAGAGACAGTTTTCCTGCACCATTTTCAGAATCAAAGATTTAACTGTTTAAATGCTGTAATTCACTTCTGTGAAGGTAAGGTCTCTCTGCCATTACACATCAGATTGGAAACAATTTTAACAACCGCATGTTTCTAGCATGTAGAACTGTAGGAGAATTCAGGTAAATAAACACACTGCATGGATAACAAAGTCCTATATTGTAAACTTCAGACACAAATGAGATATGGATCAAACACTCCCTAACAATGGCAGCTTGTTTATTAAATAGTTATAAACTTGGATAAGGTCCTTTATCCAATAGGACACAACAGTTAAATTACTGTAAAGCAATGTCTACATTATGACTAGGGCAGAAAAACTGTTACTGAAGCTAAGATTAATGATTGTTTACCTTTACAATACTTTCCACAGAAGTTAAGTTATTCAAAATATGCTTAATTTAAACATACTTCAAACTACATTTTCCAATGAAAACAAGGCAACATTCTGTAATAAGCCACAAGTTTTATTGCAACGTGGCCATTTTTTTTATATCTCAAAAACAGTGTTCCATTTAAGGCTCTTTTTTTACACAGTAACTGCCATCATGACTGATGTTTTACAAAACAACTTTAGTGTTCCAAGACTGACGTGCTAAACATAACTCCTACTCCTGTTCAGTAGCATACATTCAACGGAAAACAAAAGGCATCAGAACAGTTATTTCATTTATAAAGATATGCATGTAACAGGAATGAAAACCGAGGTACTACAACCAGTTGATGACACAGGTACAAGCAACTTAATTGGCATTTCTTGGGGGGAGGGGGGAAAAATATTACAAAAAAAGTGCTTTAAATGCATAGTGTTGTGTGCTGCCATGTCACAAAAATAGGCTTGTCAAGGCAGGTGAGGTGTATGAATGCACAAGAGCCTCATGGAACTGCAATCAAGTGCAACTGTAAGTAATACTGAATAGAGTCTACCATCTGACCAGTGGACAATACTTTCAAGGCATTTAATTAGCTTACCCTTTGCTGTTTGCTAGACTATTCACATTAACTATCACATTCATTGGACAAGTTGCAAGGAATGCACGCAATGTCAGTTTTGGCTAAGAGTGTGACATGAAGGCATTCCTTGGGGTCTATATAAAACTACCAGGATTAAAGAATCTAATGGCAATCACTGGTAGACAGTTTAATTTAATGACATCTCCTTCAGGTCTGTAGAAAGGTGAATTTTTTTTTGGAGGGGGTGGGGGGAGGAACAGGAGTTATACTATTCCAATTGAACGAGCTGCAAAAATGGAAGCTCCTTAGATCCAAGATGGCACTTGTCTGTCTTTCTATAAGGGTTTTCCTTCAAGTGAAACTACCACATTGCCTCCCAATTTCTCTCCAAGCGTTGAACGGTCCTTAATATCGTCCAAACCATTTACTTGCCACTCATGTTTAATACCTGAAAGACAAATGAATACAAATACATTTGTTCAGGTCCTCAACATTAAGAACTACAATTGCTTTGTGGAATATCAGATGCCTGTACCTGTAAATTTTTTTTTAATGGCATCTTTAGAGCTTGCGTAGATCATCTTGCTTTTTAAAGGTGCACTTTCTGGAGCCCTGTAAAGGTAAAAAGTAATTATTCAACACACTGATATTAGAAGGAAAAAGTAAAGAATTTTCAATTTTAATAGCAAGCTGGTTTCACACACCAGAATATAAATACCAGGTCTTCTTTCTTAGACTCCTTTGTCTCATATGTGGCATCATACAAAGCATATCGGCAATCATTTAAAGGTAACAACTTCACAAAGGATGTGTAGGGGTCCTCCACAGTATCACCAATATCACCAACTAATATCTGCTTTGCTTCCTCTACAATTATCTGTTTTTTGTCATCACTTAAGCAGAAAAGAACTGCTTTCTTTCTTTTTTTAATCTCTTCTGAGGTTGAAGATTTCCTTACTTTCATGTCATTAAAAACCTTTATAACTTCATCATTCACTGCCACTCCAGAAGCCTGTAAACGAGATGAAGGAAATAATTACTTAAATGAAAAAAAGACTAACATTGACTAGAGGGACGATAATAGAGGATACTACAGAAAAATCTACAAAAAATAAAAAAATTTACACTAAAACTGAACACTCTAGAAACTTAAACTATGTAAGTGGGGTTGTACCCAAGCAAAAACACTGTCCAAAATTTGTCCCTAATTTATTCATTTTTAAAATCTCAGCATCGTCTCCTTTTGAGATATCAGTTCTAACTAACTGGATTATCCCAGCACATATAAATTAGTTTATCATATATTTGGCTCAGCCAAGGGTGGCTTTTTCCTTTGTTTGATGGGTTTTTTTTAGTTGGAACAAATATAATACCAGCAATTCATATCCAGTACTGTCATGATTCTAGTTTTGTTGAGTGATGCAAGGCTCTAGAAGCAGTAGAAATGCCTTCTGACTTGTGTTAACTTCAGTGTTGTTTTTAAAACGCCTTGATTTTACTTACTGCTGATTAGTTTAAAAAAATGTTATTGCAGTTTCTACATAAGGAAAACACAACATGTACAACGTACTACAGTACTTCCAAACCATTCAGAACCCTAACCTAAAATAAGGACAACAACAGAAAGCTGATCGCAAACTCAGAAAAATTTAGCTTGTAATTTGCAAGATAGCTAAAGGCATCCATATGGCCCTTGGTTTCAATTCACTACATTCTTTATTTAAACACACCAGTTTCCAAAGTACATAATTGTGTTTACAACCCTGGCTCTTTTGGAATAGAATCTGTACCTTTTCCTTAGTTTAACTATAGAACACACATTTTGTTTGAAGACATGAATGCTCTCCTAGCCCATTTCCACTATTCACTCTGATTTCCTTGCAGAATTCCTCTTACCCGAAAGCTGGTTATGTAAACCTTTAAAAAAGCGTCAGAGTAACTGCGGGTGCACTGACAGCTCAAGACGGCTCCTCTCCATTCCCTACCGAAAGGGGAGAAAGACGCGGGAACTGCAGCTGAGTCAGGGCTGACTGCTCCTGGAACACGCCCGACTCCCGTTAAATACGCGGTTTCTCAGCCCCCAGCCCCCGCCACACGCTGTTGGGCAGCACATTCCCCGTGCGGCGGGGACGTGAAGGAGGCAGGGCCGCGGCCCGAGGCTCCGCAGCAGCAGGGTCAACACCGCGTCCTCCCCGGAGCGCGGCGCCCTGAGCCTCCACCTCCCGCCCAATCCCGGCCGCCAGCCGCACCCAAGGGGCACATCCCGGCCCCAGCGGCCCGGGGGCTGTGCCCCGGTGAGCAGCCTCGCAGCCGCTCGCCCCGCGGGTGCGCTCCCCTCGGTGGACTCAGGCTGGGAGCAGCCCCCGGCCGGCGCCCGCAGGCAGCAGCCCCCACGGGCCGAGCCCGCAGCCCCCGCACTAAAATTAGATTAAAATGGCCGCCGGAGGCCTCGGGGCCTGAACGGCGCGTGGGTCCGCTCGGCCTCTCCCCCGCCGGGCCTCCCTCTGCGGGCGCCGGGCTGCGCGCCCTGCCCTTACCATGGTGCCGGGTCCCTGTGGCGGCGGCGGCTGCCTGCACGGCTGGGATGCAGCGAGCGCGGGGCTGGGGCGAGGCGGGCGGGGACGAGTCACATGGGCGCGGCCTTCGCCACCACGTGCCGCGGCGACCCTCCCAGCCCGCTCCGCAAGGGGGGCTGGGCCCCTACGCGCGCGGCCCGAGCCAGGGCAGCAGCGTCTCTGCCACCCCCACGCCCTGGGGCCCCTCCCTACCCGGGCCGCTAGAGGCACCCCCAGCCCAGCAGCCGGGGCAGCACCTCCACACCCAGCCTCCCGCCCGGCGTTCGCCTCCCAGGGTCCAGGCCGAGGGAGGCATCTCCACACCTCGCCTCGCTCCCCCTCCCCATAGCATTGCCTCCCCCACCGGCCAGTTCCGGGGGGGGGGGGGGGCAGCTATCACACAGCCCTTTCCCATGTGCTCCCGTCACATCTTCCATGCGGATCGTGTCATCCCGACCCCCTTGTGGGGTATCGCTCAGCCGTGTGACTCCGCGCCGCCCGTAGACACCCTCCCCGCCCTTCCCCCGCACACGCTGCGCCGCGTTCCCCCTCAGCTGGCGGAGCCCGGGGAAAGCTGGCCCGGGGACTGCAGCAGAGCCTTGCCTGTGGCAGTGGTTTGCCGGTGAAGCCAAGGCTCAGCACGGGGCTGTGCAAACACGAACTAACCCTCAGAGCGCGCTGGCAGCGGAGCAGGTGACAGCCGTGGCCGGGCTGGAGAGGGCTTGCTGCGTTTCTCCCCCCCGCGGTGCTGTTGGAGCTCAGGCCCCATCGTTAGCTGGAAGTTCTGCGTAAAGCCGGTTGGACGTCTTTGATGAAAACGGAAATTAACTTTGAAGGGTTTTTTCATTCTTTTGTTCAATTGGGTTCCCGCTACCCCTCTGGGCAGTTGCGAGTAACCCCTGTGGAGTGACTGGAAAGTCCTAGCTCCTGTCCTTGTGGCTGTTACTAGTTAAAGCTAAAAGGAGTGTTGCACCGTTGGATTTTTAATTCCTAACAACACTTAAGGACAAGATTTGCCTAATAGTAGGGAAATACCAGGAGTTTGGACGACTAAGAGGACAACACGCAGTAGTGTATACGGTCTAGCTTGGATCCCACTCTAATACTGGTTTTCCATCAGGTATCTGGAAACAAACTGTGCTTGAGGTTGGGAGCTAGCAAGCACTTGCTGTCTAGACCAGGGCTACTCAACATGCAGCCCATTTGTTTGCGGACCGTGGTGCAGTTTGGGTTTTGGCAGAACTCAACACTTGGTCCATGGGTGGGATCCTTTGAACATGGCCTCCACTGGGAACACGCTCCACAAGGACAAGGCACTTCCCAGGTGGGGTGAGTATCAAAAGATGCAAGCAGATAGGCTGGCTGGAACAGACGGGTACAGGGTGTTGACATTTCAAACCCCCAGAAAGGAGGTGCCAGAGCACCCTTGCATTGTGGGAAGTTCTGGCTGCTTAGTCTTGTGGGCAGAGCCTGAGAGGTACCGACTAGCTCACACTGGCCATGTTTGGGTCCAGTGCTGTGGCTTAATCTTTGTATTCATGCCCATCAGTGTGAAAGAAGCTATTTGCAGATATATGCAACCACACTTAAGTTGTGCTGGGAGTATCATTGTGACCCCTGGTGCTTCCAAAGTTGAGTAGCCCTGATCTAGACATTTCCCCAAGAAATCTGTGCAGCACTGCCACTGATGAAATTAATTCGATGTTTGTTTTGTAGTGTATGTCTTGGGGGAGGACTATGTGTCTTCAGTTAATGTTTGTAGTTATTATGAAGTACCTCTGCAGAAAAAGCAAGATCTGTGTGTAACATGTATATTGAAGAGTTTTTTTTACTTGATGTACAGTGCTACCATCAACCAGTTCTTATTTTTCAGAATAAAATGGAATTCCCCACTACCCTTCCTGAATTTCTCTTTTAGAGTGTATTGCTTTCTTTGTAAGACAAATACTTGCAAGTAATGTAAATGGATAAACAATTGTAACAAAGCAACTAGGTAGTTAAGGTGTTTATTTAAACAATAAAAAAAATAGAAAATACATATTTAAGAAACTTAGAAACCAGCATCAGATAAAGGGGCAACATTTAACCCCATACTTAATAGCCAGTATAGAAAAGCAAAACATCCTCTTCAGTATGAATGATGCTTGGCGATTCAGAACTGTACTAACCATTTTTTACTCTAGTATCCTTTATTAATGATTGTGTGCCTAGTAAAATGCACCAATCCTGTAAATCCATGCTCACATGAATAGTCTATACCTGGGGTGGCCAACCAGTTAGGGACAAAGAGCCAAAATAGCTGTGGATAGAGTGCAAAGAGCCATGTATTATATATTTATTTTTATTCATCTATAGATAGCTATAGTACACAAAATGTAGTGATAAAACAACATTACAGGACATTTTGGACAAAAACCAATAAAGTCTCTAGTCACTTAAAATTCATGGCCAGTCCACAGATCTTCAGAGAACTTGACAAGGAACAAACATCAAATTAAACAACCAAACCTTTAAAGGTACAATAATATTCTCACACTTAAAAAAAAAACCAAAACCATCCCCACCATGTATTAACACTACTGCCTTCTTATGTCCTGTGGGTTTTTTTAAAATTAAGATCAACTGAGAAGTAAATTAGCACAATTTGAAGTGCCTGCTTCATTCCAGCTTGTTGTTCTCTGGTATGGTTTTTTTTGGGGGGGGAGGGGGGTTATTTATACTTAAGATTATGGTTTTTTTATTGTTCTAAAAAAATCAGGTTGGTCTCAGATTGCAAATATGAGAGGTTCAAAAAACAATAAGGGAGAGACTCCTATCAGAATAATTCCTTCAACCTGGCAAACAATAGCCTTTGAATTTTCTTTAAAGAAACACAGTGTAAACCAGGGACATGCTAATTTATTTATTTATTTATTTATTTATTTGCCCTGGATATTTATTTTTTTTGCCCTGGAATTTAAATATGACATGTGTTGGCTGCCTTATTCTGCATCCATGAAGACTTTGAATTTAAGGTGCTTCAGCCCTCCTGCTCCAACCCAATACCCCACCTCTTCCCCAGAGCCAGGCACCCTCAGCCCCCTGCTCTTCCCCGATTCTCCCCCTCCCCCAGATCCAGGCATCCCCAGACTCCCCCTCCCCATGCTCTAACCTAACCCTCCTCCCTTCCCCCAGAGTCAGACACTGCCAGCCCCGCCCCCAGCTCTAACCCAATGTCTGGGTCCCAGAGCCGCCGCCATGTGCTTCTCCCTCCAGGCGCTGCAGTGCATGTGCAGAACTAGCAAGAGCCACATTTTTTTAAGCAAAGAGCTGCATGCAGCTGGAGAGCAGCAGGTTCCCCTCCCTGTCTGTACTTAAGTGGAGAAGCCCACTGATTTCAGTGTGACTAGTTGCACATGGGCCATATATGGATGAATTGTGCTTTTGACTTATAATTCAGCCATGCAGCAGAATAAGGTTCTCCATCCTACATGGGAGATTGAATTCTTCCTGGACCTTGGATCCTGGTCAGGTATGCAGCATGGTCCCTTCATAATGGAGCTGGCATGAGTTGGGAACTAAGTTGTATCCATTACAGGCCTACAATAGATTACAGTAGAACATCAAAGATATAGACACTTAAGGAACTATATCTTGTTCATAACTCTGAGGTGATGAACAACAAAATGTTATGGATATTCTTTCAAAAGTTTACAGCTGAAGATTGACATAATAGAGCTTTGAAACTGGAAGTAAAGTGCTATTAGTCATAAGTTAAATGAAACAATCACAGTGAATTTAAATGAAACAATGGAAGTTTCCTTGTCTTGTCAAATATTCTTTAAATTTTCCCCCTTTTTTTAGTTTTTACATTTAACACAATACTGTACCATATTTACTATATTTTTGGTCTCTACTGCTGCCTGATTGCGTACTTCTAGTTCCAAATGAGGTGTGTGGTTGACCAATCAGTTTGCAATTTTGAGGTTCTACTGCACTTCTTCACAGGAGCAGTTTCTAAGGGTAGGTTTTCATTACAGGGTTAAGTCGACCTAAGTTACGCTATTCCAGCTATGTGAATTATGCAGCTGGAATCATTGTAGCTTAGGTTGACTTACTGTGGCATCTATACCTCATTGGGTCAATGGGGGAAACTCTCCCTTTGACTTACCTTATGCTTCTTGTTCTGGTAAATTATTGAAGTAGATGAGAGAGCGATCTGTGGTTGATTTAGCTGCAGTGTGGATCAATTGCCACAATGTGGACATAGATGGTGAGTTATATGGGCCCATGGTACCCAGGCACCAGGAATATTCCTGGCTAAGGGCTGGATTCCGCCAAAGCTTGAGGCTGGGTCTTTCCCAATCCTGCCTCCCACCCGTGTGCTCCTTCCCCCAGTGCATGTCCCAGCCCCACCTACTGCCCCTGAGCGATTTAAAATGGCCCCATTCCTCCATGACCACCAGCAGCATAGCAGGACTAGTGCCGTTTCCTGCCCGCTTGCACCATGTGGCTGCCTGCAAACCAGAGTATGTGTGTCTCCCTGTGCTGCTCTCAGGAGCACATGGACACCCTCTCCTCTGCTGCACTACTGGTGGGAGAATCCCCAGGCCATTTTAAATCACCAGGTTCAGCATATAGGACCAGGAAATGCATAGGGAGGGGGAAGCATGCAGAGCCCTCTGACCCCAGGAGCTGCTGCCAAAGGGGAATGCCCCCCAGTAAGTGTGGCACCTGACATGCTGTTGCACATCCCATTCCTTCCCAGTGCCTACATCCTTTCCCCCCATGCCCTCTTCCTCCCTCAAACTGCCTCCCAGAGCCTGCACCCCTCACCCCTTCCTGTCCTCTTCCTCCCTCAAACTGCCTCCCATCCCAGAGCCTGCACCCCTCACCCCTTCCTGCACCCCTTTCCCCAGCCTAGTGCCTGCACCCCAGATCCGTTCTCACACTCAATTCCCTCACAGAACCTGTGCCACATAGTCTCTCCTGCATCCAGATGCCCTCAGAGAGCCTGCACCCCAATCCCCAGAGCCTGTACCCAGCCCAAACTCCATCCCAGAGTCTGCACTCCAGACCCTCTCCTGCATCCAAGTTCCCTCCCTCCCTGAGCCTTCATCTCTACCTGCATCCCAAATCCCTGTCTCAGCCCAGAGTCTGCACCCAAACTACCTCCCAGAGCCATAGGCAGGCTGCGAGCTTAGAGCATTCTGAGCACTACAAAAATTTCTACAA